ACCGCTAGTTTTGTTGCATGCAACCAGCAGACAACACGAGTGTAAACAATTCGTTGAAGATGCCGCGTCACTAATGCTGGTATTTGTACGTGCTAACACAGATTTGTGGTAGTTGCAAGAGCATATGAAGGGGGAAGCGCGGAGACAATCGAGGTGAGAGTATATGGCCGTTGGAGAGAGGAAACCGTGGCGAATCAAGTTCATGGCATGCAACGTCGACCTTGTTTATTGTAATAAATCGGTGCCGAGGCGGCGGCGGATTTCGATGAGCGAGGCAGTGCAGGAAGATGATGAAAGTAAACCAAACAATAACAACAACGAAATTTGCCACGAGAAAAGCACATGCGTGTAAATATGGACAGACATGTGAGGAAAGCATCTGAATAAAAAGTCATAATGCGACGCAAGTGAAATAGAATTTTCCGCTATTGCGTGTTGCACACACCAGCGACCAGTTGTTTGTTGTTTTTGTTGTTTTTGATATTAGCATTTTTTTCGCTTTTTTAATTGTATGTTGTCAAGGCTTGTTGTTATATATGGAAAAGTTGCTGGCTGGTTGGTTGTGGCGGCTACTGTTGCATGTGGCAGCTGTGAATTTCAATACAACAAACTTGCTCCAAAGGCAAAACAAAAGCAAATAAGCAAAAGGTAGCGTGAGTCGTATTCATACCACGTGTACATAATACACATCAACACATACATACACACATATTAGATACATGCATATGTATGTATAAGCCTATAGAAAGAAAGAGGAGCACATGAAAAGTGATAAAACAGCAATGAGAGAGTGTCCATAACAAGTSAAACGCCACCACAAGAGAGTCAAAACAAAAACACCAGCAACAAAAGCGTATTAATAGTATCAAAGTAAAAGGCAACGCATTATAATGCACCTACAYCCTATAAACAACAAAAAAACCTTATACACAACAAATACACACGCATACCAGCTCGTGTCGCTGTTTACTCAAACAAACCAGAAGCAAGGTGATGCATCGAAGTCAAAGTTGAAAAACATAAAACAGAAATATGTATGTATAAAGAGGCACATATGTACATACATAGATGAGGGGTGCACCGAGTCGTCAGTGAAGTGAAGCGGTGTAAAGGAAGAAACGCAATTTTCGAAATGTTATGCGTACGCCGAGGAACACAAGCGCACAAGCAAAGCCGGATGTCAATAAAAACATTCGCATACATTTGTTCATACATATTACTATCTGTATGTATATATGAACGCACATACATAAGTGTGTACAATATACACATACGCACGTTCTGCCCTCTTAGGTTTTCATATGAAAACAATAAGCAAAGAAAGAGCAAACAAATGAATGCAAATTCAAATAATATATGAAATGCAGAACATGGAATGTCGACTCGGCTGATAAAAAGATGCTTTAACCAGATTTTGCCACCTTTAGTCGATGCACAAATCTGAGAGAGATACATATAACTAAAATATAGTTTTAAAGGAGACTTTTCCTACTAAATTTTCATATTTATTTTCATACAAATTTTCCTAAGCACTCACAATATACACTGTGCTTACAAATATCTTTCAGATAGGACATTTAAAATAAATGGYTTCATATGAAATTAATAAATGCTATTTCCCTTAATTTTGTAATCTTCTTCTTATAAACTYTTATTTTTTAGAAAAATATCGATTAAAGTACRTAAGTACCCGAAAATTGTAAATATAYGAAAAATATTTAATTATTCATAAATGTTTACGCCGTCAAAGTAATCCCCATCAGTTGTAATAGACTTATGTCAACGATTTTTCCAGTCCTCGAAACACTTCTCATGAGCACTTTTTGTATGGCTTTCAGCTCCTTCTGCCAATTTTGTTTTATCTCCACGAAGTGCTAATTTCAGTTTGAGGAACAAAAAAAATCAAACGCAGCCAAATTTGAGAAATACGGTTTTTGATCGATCGTATTCATAGCGTTTTTGGCTTTAAATTAGGTCACAATCGTACTATTTTAGAAAAAAAAAAAGTCGGGACAAGTCGAGCAAGAACACGTTTCTCACCAAAAATCATTCGAAAGGACTCGCGAGAGATTTCGGAGGTCGCCCAGAACGAGGAATAACTTTAAAAATTTCCCGACCGTCTTTGAAGGTACCACTCATAGGCTTGTGTGGGTTAARAGYTATAAATTATTTCCGTCATAAGTRACACTCCGGGAAGAAAATGAGYTTGAGTTGCATATATAGCTAAAAAAAAAATGTTTCTCTGGATACGCCCCTGACTACATATATGAAGATACCGTAGTCTGCACCAGCGAAAAATTAAAATCGTTTAAGTACGCTGTTGATAGTTGCAACTTTGCTTCTAGTGCTCAGATCTTAACGAAGTATGGAATATTTAGTCGAAAAATTATATACAAGCTTGTACTTTTAAGCAACATGTTTTTTTCGACCAACACAAGAGTATATAATTCYTTAAATCCTCCTTAATTTTAATAACAAATCGGAAATCATTTGATCAGACTGAAAWCTCACATTTAATTAGAAGATTTATGAGGTTTCTTATTTGCAATAATAATAAACATTAAGAGTTTTTAATGATTTCTCTTCGGTTCTTCAGTTAAAATTTATTACAATGTTATTAGTATTAAATAAAATATTCACAGAACGACACTCTGCGCAACTAATAATGTAAAAACCTTGTGCCATATCACCTTCGGAAGCTTCAATAGCCGACCCAGCACCCTTTTTGTAAGAATTTGTTAATATTTTGTCGATAGCTTGCAACTGTACATAAATTTAAGCAACTCTTTATTTGCTTTTAATCGCTTTTCCCTCTTACAAGCTATTTATTTTGGTATTGAAATTGGTTGTTGTTGCATTTTTCCGTTTACCTTTTCATCAAATTTGTTTTTATATTATACATTGTTAACGTGTTTGTGGCACAAACTTGTAAAGGCAGCRCACAAATTCGAGATCAAAACAAAAATGAAAAGCAAATAAAAACAAACAGCGKAGGACAGAAGAGGTGCGATGTAAACGTGTAGAGTATGAGCAATGTATTGGCTGGAAATATACAAAAGGTGATAATTGACGCAATGGAAAAATAAAAGAAGTTGAAGAGAAGGGTATTGCACTTACATGCTATGACACGTAGAAGAAAAAGCAGGTCTGGTCAGACTTATGAAAAAAAACCAATAAAATGTTGAATGCATAACGAATGGGCGAAGTGATAGACAATAACTATTGAAGARTGGAAAGCCATAAAGTGAAAGAAAAACACAAAATATATTAACAAAAGAAAAAGATGGTCATTGGTGAGGATGCTTTGAGGACAGTTTTTTGAAACGGGCTCACGCTAGTTATCAATGGACCTGAATGAAGTAATTTTCAAAACACTGAGGTTTGAAGTCTGTAATAGTGATTATCCGTAGTAACCCGATTGAAATAGAGAAACCTTAGAAGGAACTGAGCAAAAGTTCTGTGTATCTACTGCAAAAAGTCTGTGCTCTGGGTTTTGGARCAATATTCTTCTCAACGCTTCTCGCTTTGAGTCGACATAACGAGTTTGTCTATGAAAATAGCGATTYTTGTCTTATACAGAGTTGGAAAGAAAGTCTCACACTAAAAGCAGTGTTATTCAAAATATGTGGGAAAACGTCGCTGAAGTTTTCAAAATGCGGAAACACGCTTGAGGTGTTAAGTGGTGGAACTAAAACAATAATGAGAGAATAATGAAACTGCAGCAAGTTAGTCATTAAGTAATTATTAAGTAAAGAGGCAGGGATGTGTTTCTTTATACTATTTGTATGGGCTTGCAACAAACCGTTGGAAAAACTTATTAAGGCCAGGATGGGCATATCTGGTCTGACGAAATCTTGACGAAGCGATTTTACGGAACAAAAAAAAAACATAATAAGAATAAGAAAATTTGTTCCGCACTGTATTCGTATGACCAAACCATAGTACATACATACATACATATGTTACAATTTACATTACAAGAATATAATTTTTGTTTGATAAAGAAACTGAAATCGAATTTGTCATAAAATACATATTCCTTCTAAAACACAACCCATAATCTATATGTAGTTAAGCAAAAATTATTTAAATTGCATTTATAAATCAAAATTTGAGGTTTTTTAATTATATTTAAGTAATAAGGCCCTAGAAATGCGACCTGACCCATTTATACCGTTTATACTTCATCGTCACTAATACATGCATGAATATTCATAATTGCTGTGTGTTCCATAACTTTGTTTTGAATTTTTTTTGGTAACTATTCTGGCGGTTCTCAGCTACCAAGAAAGGGGAAGGCGAGCTCGCGCCGCTTACAAAAGTTCACTGACCCGAAATTTTCATAGCCCGGCAGAATATCGACACTCGTACATACAAACATATCAATTTACATACGAACGTAAAAAACATTTTTCCCGTTCTCTCTGTAGTTTTCCTTCGCAATCGCYGTTGCTGTTGGTCGTCGGTGCCGTTGGTTTATTCGGTAATATGAATAGCAGGAAAACCAGGTTAATGAAATATGGTAAAAGCAAATGCAATAAAAACAACCATGCAATGGTCAAATGGCTGAGAATACACAAGAAACGTGCATTACCTTTGGAAATGAGTAAAACGGGTAATCGAATATACATATACATATAATGTATGTATGTACAGTTGTATCAGTATAAGCTTTTCTTTGTCTGGCTGTAGCTTGGCGGGAAAGGTAAATTCGGCTTTGACAGAGATTGAGAAGATATGACGTGGTACGCGAAGAAATATGTAAAAAAGCTTTGAAAGAAATTACTCGAATAGGTAAAAATTATAGACAGGCATAAACGACATAAATAATAGTTAATTTATATACGAATGCACTCCATAACAGTTTTTATAAAAATATGCTTATAAAATTTGTGTAAAATTATTATATTTTTAATTACTGATAAAAATGCTCTAAATTAAGTTAATTTTCCACGAATTGAATTATTATTAAATTATTTGTGTTGTTTTCTCATTTACAGGCACGCTTCGAAATAGCTGAAGCGCAACCATTGTCAACCAAAGTACAGTGAGTTCGTTAGAGAAGCGAAAAATAAGTGTTAACATAAAAATWAAAAATAGAAATTAAAAGTAATTGTTATAAAAATTAATATTAAAATTAGCTTGTGTAAAAGTTTTGTGAGAAAAGTTTATAAACTCAAAGTGCATAGAAGTTGCAAGATAATTATTAAATCGGCAAATTTTATAAATTTAAAAAAATATCTTTCACAAAAGTGTAAAAATATCTCAATGAAAACGGAGTCGTTGGATTTTCATAGTATGGATCTCAATATGGATATACTACCGAGCGGGAATATATTCAGCGAATTGGAGCACGTCTGCACCACTGGCTACTTTTCATCTCAACCATCTATTGAGGATCAATGGCAACAGGTAGGTGTGCGTTATTTTCAAACCCGTTAAGTGCTCCTCTGGCATCGCTTACTAAGAACTATAATTGAAAACATAAATAACTAAAAATAAAAAGAAAACATTTAAGACACTAATTTGTTTCTCTTTTCTTTGAAATTTTTAACCAAACAATTTTTAATTAAAGAGTGATATATGTAGATATAATTGTTGGCTATTTGTACAGATTTTTTTTCAATTTCATTCAAATAGTGTGGCAGCCTGAAAATTCAACTTTTGTAGCATTTGATTAAAAGAAATTAAAATATTTGGGGTTTAGCAGATAGTTTATGTCTGCGCTATTTTTAGGTGGAAATCTATGTTCAGATGTAAACAAAAGCGAACCAAAACACACATATTTAAAAGAACTAAAGAATAGATGCGAGAAGTCGAATATTCTGGCAGAATGGTGTATTTATATTTGATTATATAGTTATGAGTGAAAGCTTCGTACATTAGTTTTATGTGAATTAAACATTTCAAAATACGCATATTTATATATATATTAGGGAGGATAAAAAAACAAATTTTTTTCGGCTTGGTACTCTGAAAATTTTTTAACAGACACCTCTAAGCAATGGTCTCCTTGTAAGATCTCTTAATTGTAACGTGAAAGTCCTCCGCCTAATTGTTTTTTTTATTTTCTAATTACCAAAGAGAAAAATATTTATCTCGCTTCCAAACGCCTCAAAAAATATTTAGTTTAAAACAAACAAACAATATTTAGTTTAATATTTTTTGTTTAATAATTTTAGTTTYTATAGTTTAATATTTTTTTTTAGGAAAACAAAACATTTAGACACCATGTTGTGTTTACCATGTTGGGTTTTCGTAAACATAGCCATTTTAGAAATATTGAAGGTTGAAGTTAGTCTGCTTTAAAGCAAATTTCTTTTTTTATTTCCTTTGAATTTTATACTTCAATGAAAAAGCATCATTGTAAATTGTAAAAACTATGACAGACTTGTAGGAAATTTACTGCTCTTTACACATTTTTTATTTTTGTTGTTTTTTGGTTTTGTTTGTGTTTTCCTTTAATAGGCATTGAAATAAAACCAGCGTCATATCTCGTAAACGCTCMACTTAATCCAAAAATAATGTAAGCCAGTTTCATAGACTCACCCTAATATTATATATATTTTCCTTAAGCAAGCTTGTGTGTTTACAATCGGTGCAATCAAATATCAATATTAGCTTTTATTATATATCAAATTTTGATACTTTAGGGCACTGGAAAATATTCTTCTCCGAAATAAAAATTAGCCCATAAGGCTAGTAAACAAAAAAAAAAAAAAAAACGTCGTACAGGTACTTTCCTTATAGTACAAAAGGATCTAAAAATAACTTTGCCTTTGATTTTTATTGGCCAGTTTTTATGGCATCTTTATGCTGGAGTACACTAATCAGATAATCTCTACGCAGATTCTACCATTATCTTGTACAATAATCCACATCAAATTTTGTGAAGACATCTTGTTGAATTTTCCTTACATGRACTGAATTTTGATCTTTCASTTTGTATGACTACTATATGCTATACTGGTGCGATAGAACAGAACAATWCCAGTTCKCCGAACATATTTRTAACATAGAASARGACARCYTGGACCGKRAATGYGATAATTCCAAGTATTGAAARATGTCGTTTAGAGAAAATCTTTTGATTTCATTTTAGACAATACATAGCAAGTATGAATATATAATTATTATTTCTGAAATTCTAATCGGTAAGAAATATTTCTCTTATGCTTTATTACCAAGTAATTTTTCCGTAAGACCACAGTTAAAATTATGGAAGAAGGAGTAACAATTGAGATTTATGCTTTAAGAGACAAGTGTTGAACCAATAAACATATGACTTCTACATAAGTATATCGTAGGCTATTCCGACAAATGRGCAGCTTCTTGGAGCAAAAAGGACGTGTGGAAAAAAACATCCATATCTCAAAAACTAAAGTACTGGCTTATATATACATGTGTATGCATACAGATGGACGGACTGACTGATGTGACTAAGTCAACCCCTCACCTTCCTGATCACATAAAAACATATATTTTATAAGATTTTCGACGTTTTTCCAGGTGTTACAAACTTTGTGGCAAATTTAATAGACTCCATCAGGGTATAAAAATTAATTAAGTAATATAGTAATATATACCCTATAAGTACATATATATGTACAAAATATTAGRTTGTCAAAAAAGTCTTGCGGTATTTTCGCTAGTTGGTGCCGAGAGCRCGTAGTTCTAGTTTTATTCGTCGCATCGGGTCATGCTATTCCTTTTTGGAATGCTCATTTCACGCACGTGTTTGATTGATTGTCGTTTCTTTTAAGTCGTTCGTGAGTTATAGCGTCGCAAATATGGAGCAAAATGAAGAGAAAATACGGCATATTTTACAGTACTACTACGAAAAAGGCAAAAATGCATCTCAAGCCGCCAATAAAAYTCGTGCAGTTTATGGACCCGATAYRGTTTCCATTTCCAYSGCACAACGATGGTTTCAACGTTTTCGTTCTGGTGTARAGGTGGYCGAAGATGCGCCACGCTCCGGAAGGCCTGTCGTCGAAAATTGCGATAAAATCGCTGAATTGGTCGAAAGAGACCGGCATAGTAGCAGCCGTAGCATCGGTCAGGAGCTGGGCATGAGTCATCAAAAAAAATTTTATGAACAATTGAAAATTCAATAAAAAAATACGGCACGACTTTTTTGACAACCTATTAATAACTTGAGTAATCATGAAGCTCTAGAGAATTAGCCTCGAATTTTCTTAATGATCATATGAATAGATGAGTGAGTRTGAAAGATATGTTTATGCCTCATAATCTGCGAAAAAGTTAGGTTTGCTTAGATTTCCCGCAAACGTAAACAACCACGGCCTCATTAAGTTTTGTTGCTATTTTGAACGTTTAAAACACAAGAATCTATATTTACCAGAGTGTGTGCGCTTGCGGAGATGGCGTGGTAGCAGCCTTTGGCCTTCAGCTAAAAATCAGTTTGATACAATAGTTTTTGCGTGCAAAAAATCAGCTTCTTTGTGTAGTTGAACTGTGTGCTCACATGGTCTCCACATAAACAACGCCGAGTTCCCGGTAACTGATTGAGTAATCACTCCTTCTGCAGTTCGTTCTTAAAAATCATGTCCACACAAGCGCATTGACGCAGCAATTATTTTAAACTTTAGTTTTTATCAAGCTTTGCCTTGAGGCCAAGCAAAAATTACAATCTTAAATACAAAGGACATATGTATATACATACATATATATATATATATATATATAGTGCAGGCACTCGCCGCTTATCACTGCGAGCAAGCGCTGAATTACGTTTATCAGTCATGCAACAGCACAATGCCTGCACTGTGCATTTCGATTTATTCATATTTTTCCATAGAAGTGCTTGAGTTTATCAGAAGTACAGAAATACCCGTGGCTGCAGGAGATTGCGGGGCGGGGTATGTACATAAGTACTATGTGCAAGAATGAAGCGTATAAATAACCTCGAAAGAATGCGAATAACACTTTTACTRAGCGATAACCGGTTTCTTTTCGCTTGCCCATGAGTTGTGGCAGAAGAGTGGGGARGTGCCGCGGGAAGTTCAGCGCTACAATGAATTATAATACAACAACAAGGGTTACAAGCAGTAACAATCAGCTGATTTTGATACGCGCTCTGAGCAATGGAAACATGCGATAAGTGCTGCTCTGTTTTTTGTTTTTTTCTTTTTACATTTTGTTTTTGCTCTTGTTGATTTCGGTTTTTTGTTTTTTTCTTTTTACATTTTGTTTTTGCTCTTGTTGATTTCGCATTTCTTTTTTGTTTGGGCTCTTTGTTTGCGTTGCGTGTTATCAGCAAAAGGTACAAATAAGCAACAGCAAAGTCAAATGAATTAGCAAGCCACAATTTGCAGAATGTGTGMTTGTTTGTTGTTGTACTAGCGCAATCACTTTAAAATTTAATTGTTTGCGAAAATAAGAAAATATATGAAGACCGATGTATGTGTGGGTTTCGGTACGGTGATTCTCGTGGAAGAATTTTTGTTGCTACTGGGGATTTTTCTCTATTAAAGCAATGAATAATTATTGTATATATGTATGTATATAGTATGCACACAAATGCAGTATTGCTGTACTTAAGATGCAATAACGCTTTGGTATCCCTGCTGGAAACTCGTCACGGAAATGCGCATGACAAATTGACCAAATTCACAAATTGCCTCCAGCACTTTTTTGTATGAACGAATTCGATGAATCAAATTTTCGAGTACTTTTCCACTAARTCAAGTTGTATGTCATGAATACCYCATTAAATACTGACTTCTTGTTGCTAAAGACCAATAATTTCAAAATATCCTCACAAAAGGTAGTYTTAGGGTCTTAAATMACAACTTCTTGGAGGCCATTCCATGCCACAATTTCTTGAAATAATCCAGGTAAWAATTCTGTGGTAAAAACCAGCCAATTAACGRCGTTTACGGTGGTCTTATGACATMAGTTCTTGAGTAAGRACAWTTTTAATATTTTTCGAAATTCTCCAGGTTGTGGTTTGAGACAGTCACAATTCTTGTTCACTTTTTGAAATCGACAAAGACACAGAAATATTTTCATTACTTCAAGCGTTCCTTTTTTTGTTGGCACTTGAGCCTTATGTAAAGA